GCTCCTCCAGCCATGGGAGCTTCCCCTTGCTGCCCCATCATGGGGCAGATCTGGGTTGGGGGGGTAAAGGGGCAGATATCTGCCCCCCTGGCCTCCTCTTGACCCCCACCAATCCTGTGGCTCGTGCTGTACGGAAAAGGGGGGCGGGGGCTGAATAAATAGTGACAGCAGCTACCGTGTTCTGGCTTTGGGGGGGATATGTACAACACCTGGCAGGGGCCCTATCCTGGATCTGTCCCTTGTGTGGTGGGGTATGTATACTGCCCGGCCCTGGGCCTGATCTTGGCAGGGGCTGGCTCTGCCCTGGGAGGTACGTACAGTGCCTGGCGCGTGCCTGATCCTGACCAGGGGCCAGGGGCAGATGTCCTGGGGGGTATCTGCCCCTCCCCACCAGGGCTGGGGCATGTGAATTGAGACCTGCTGTAGCCCACCATGCCTTGGGGCCTGGGCAGGGTGGTGCATGCTGGAGGTTTGCGCCCCCCCCCATCCCAGTTCCTAGTGCCCTGTGGGGGCAGCAGGCGGGTGAGAGAGAGGAGCAGCTCCCAGTTGCCCACCCCCCCAGGGCCAGGGAGGAGCTCCGGAGTCGCAGTGGGGGTGAGTCTGTTTATTGCTCCCTGCCCCCGGGGCTGAGGCACCCTTTAAGGCCCAGGCAGGTAGAGGGTCCGGCGTCGTGGGGGGTCTGGACGTCGTCGCACCGTCACCAGCACCGGGGGGGGATCAGTGCCTGCTTCAGCTGTACAGAACTGGGAGGGAAGAGGAGGTTAGTGGGGGGCAGGCCCAGCCCCCTCCTATGAGACCCCCTATACCCTTAATACCCATATGCCCCATGTATCTCCAGCCCCCTTTATAATTCCATACCCCCCAGCCCCAAATAACCTTCCAGTGTCCCACCCCTGTACCCCCTAGCCCCAGTGCATACCTCCCAGCTCCCCATGTACCCCTAGCTCCCCACAACCTTCCCTATATACTCCTGGCACTGCTATATGACCCCAATCCCCCATGTCCTTCTGCCCCCATATTCAGAGTATTGATAGTTGATCGAGTCAGAAGGGACCTGAGCAGATCAAGTCCGTCCCCTGCCATGGCAGGAAAGAGCGCTGGGGTCAAACGACCCCGGCTAGGTGATTAGCCTCCTGAAGACCCCCAGGGTAGGAGCCAGCACCACTTCTCTTGGAAGTTGGTTCAAGGTCCTAGCCGCCCTGACAGTGAAGGAGCGCCTCCTGATATCTAGCCT